TCATTACAGTAATACAGTACAGTTCTTTAATCATTACAGTAATACAGTACAGTTCTTTATTACAGTAATACATACAGTTCTTTAATTATTACAGTAATACAGTACAGTTCTTTAATCATTACAGTAATACAGTACAGTTCTTTAATCATTACAGTAATACAGTACAGTTCTTTAATCATTACAGTAATACAGTACAGGTCTTTAATCATTACAGTAATACAGTACAGTTCTTTAATCATTACAGTAATACAGTACAGGTCTTTAATCATTACAGTAATACAGTACAGGTCTTTAATCATTACAGTAATACAGTACAGTTCTTTAATCATTACAGTAATACAGTACAGTTCTTTAATTATTACAGTAATACAGTACAGTTCTTTATTACAGTAATACAGTACAGTTCTTTAATTATTACAGTAATACAGTACAGTTCTTTATTACAGTGATACAGTACAGTTCTTTAATTATTACAGTAATACAGTACAGTTCTTTAATTATTACAGTAATACAGTACAGGTCTTTAATTATTACAGTAATACAGTACAGGTCTTTAATCATTACAGTAATACAGTACAGTTCTTTAGTACAGTAATACAGTACAGTTATTTAATTATTACAGTAATACAGTACAGGTCTTTAATTATTACAGTAATACAGTACAGTTCTTTATTACAGTAATACAGTACAGTTCTTTATTACAGTAATACAGTACAGTTCTTTAATTATTACAGTGATACAGTACAATTCTTTATTACAGTAATACAGTACAGTTCTTTATTACAGTAATACAGTACAATTCTTTATTACAGTAATACAGTACAGTTCTTTAATTATTACAGTAATACAGTACAGGTCTTTAATCATTACAGTAATACAGTACAGTTCTTTAATTATTACAGTAATACAGTACAGTTCTTTATTACAGTAATACAGTACAGTTATTTAATTATTACAGTAATACAGTACAGGTCTTTAATTATTACAGTAATACAGTACAGTTATTTAATTATTACAGTAATACAGTACAGTTCTTTATTACAGTAATACAGTACAGTTCTTTAATCATTACAGTGATACAGTACAGTTCTTTAATTATTACAGTAATACAGTACAGTTCTTTAATCATAACAGTAATACAGTACAGTTCTTTATTACAGTGATACAGTACAGTTCTTTAATTATTACAGTAATACAGTACAGTTCTTTATTACAGTAATACAGTACAGTTCTTTAATTATTACAGTAATACAGTACAGTTCTTTATTACAGTAATACAGTACAGTTGTTTAATTATTACAGTAATACAGTACAGTTGTTTAATTATTACAGTAATACAGTACAATTCTTTAATTATTACAGTAATACAGTACAGTTATTTAATTATTACAGTAATACAGTACAATTCTTTATTACAGTAATACAGTACAGTTCTTTAATTATTACAGTAATACAGTACAGTTATTTAATTATTACAGTAATACAGAACAATTCTTTAATTATTACAGTGATACAGTACAGTTCTTTATTACAGTAATACAGTACAGTTCTTTATTACAGTAATACAGTACAATTCTTTATTACAGTAATACAGTACAATTCTTTATTACAGTGATACAGTACAGTTCTTTAATTATTACAGTAATACAGTACAGTTATTTAATTATTACAGTAATACAGAACAATTCTTTAATTATTACAGTGATACAGTACAGTTCTTTATTACAGTAATACAGTACAGTTCTTTATTACAGTAATACAGTACAATTCTTTATTACAGTAATACAGTACAGTTCTTTATTACAGTAATACAGTACAATTCTTTATTACAGTAATACAGTACAATTCTTTATTACAGTGATACAGTACAGTTCTTTAATTATTACAGTAATACAGTACAGTTCTTTATTACAGTAATACAGTACAGTTCTTTAATTATTACAGTAATACAGTACAGTTCTTTATTACAGTAATACAGTACAGTTGTTTAATTATTACAGTAATACAGTACAGTTGTTTAATTATTACAGTAATACAGTACAGTTGTTTAATTATTACAGTAATACAGTACAGTTGTTTAATTATTACAGTGATACAGTACAATTCTTTAATTATTACAGTAATACAGTACAGTTATTTAATTATTACAGTAATACAGTACAGTTCTTTATTACAGTAATACAGTACAGTTCTTTATTACAGTAATACAGTACAGTTCTTTATTACAGTAATACAGTACAATTCTTTAATCATTACAGTGATACAGTACAGTTCTTTATTTATTACAGTAATACAGTACAATTATTTAATTATTACAGTAATAGAGTACAGGTCTTTATTACAGTAATACAGTACAGTTATTTAATTATTACAGTAATACAGTACAGGTCTTTATTACAGTAATACAGTACAGTTCTTTAATCATTACAGTAATACAGTACAGTTCTTTTATTATTACAGTAATACAGTACAATTCTTCAATTATTACAGTAATACAGTACAGTTCTTTAATTATTACAGTAATACAGTACAGTTCTTTAATTATTACAGTAATACAGTACAGTTCTTTAATTATTACAATCGTAATCAATTGTTCTATTCAAATGTATTTTCAATTTCTGGATATTCTCGCTGTTTCATTTGTTTAACCAAATCCAGGGATATTCAACATATATTGTTGAACTGAATTATAACACTGATTTTTATAATAATCACCGAAGGTGGTCATATTTGTTTGTTTGTGATTTTGAACATGGATATTTACGGATTCAAATTCGAAATAAGTCCGACATGTTCAGATGTATAACGTCTTCGTCGGCTACAATAGATACCTATATAACCAAGTCTGTACTGGTCTCCGAGTAATTTTTTTTTTTATAAAATCACTCATCCATGACTGGCCCCATTCTACCCGTGGGCTCTCATGCCTACGACTCGATAGACGCTAAGGGGACGTAACCCATGATACCCTGTCAAAATAGCTGCATTTGGGAATTAATACTGATTTCATGGTGGATGTTTCAGCCTTTTAAATTGCGAAAGTCTTTTTAATTGTAACAGTAATTCATGAATAAATTTTAAAATGGTGTTCCGGTACACTGACTTCTAGACTGTTAAGTGACCATGGCTTTTCAAAAATATTTGTTTAAGCTAGTTTTATTAATCTAATTAATGAATTTTCACATATTTAATTTAAGATTAATTTTATGATTGTTTCTGTCAATTTTCATATATATAGGATTTCGCAAGTTTCCTTTGATCCTTACGCGTATGGGAATGGAGAACAAAAGTGATCAGGTACCTTATATTAGTGAGATTTGCTGGTACATACTTTTGAATGAACTGAATTGTTTAGCTCCTATTACCGTTGTTTCATAATTCCTTTGTTGTTGTCTTTTTTTTGTCACTTTTATGCTTTGAACGAGGAAAAGGGATAATTAGAATTGTTGTCAGGCGGTGATGCCATTCCTATTACATTATACATGTTTTTTTTAATGTTATTCAATTTTTCTTCTGTGATGTTGTTCTTTGTGTTAAATTTTTTTTATGTTTTTTCGTAATAATATATCTTCTCAGCTAATGTTACTTGTTTTATTGTATACAACAGAAAATGAAATTTCTTGCATCTTGTATTTTGCGTCAAGCTGGCGACAGGACTTAGAATAGGGAGTGGTTATTATGCCAAAAGAATTCAAGGCCTGTGCATTCGAAGTGATCCGTCAATTTGGATAAAAGTGACTACAAAATAAATTATTTATCATTATTATGGACGGGGCTTAAAAAGGTTGAGGGTAAATTGGGTAGAATTAATGTCATGAAATTCATCAATAATGAAGTGTCCCCGTTGTTTATTTTGGTTTTGGAGCGTAGTGATATATAAAACAGGATCCACATCAACGCAATATAAATTTGAAACATATTAATCAAGGAACATCAATATATCTTGTATTATGTCAATGGGTTATTTTTTGAAGAGTTAAGTAGTACACATAGACAACATTATGTGCGGTGAATTAGAACTACTTTATGTAGCGCATTAAATGATTGAGGTGTTCTTCGGTCCCGGATACTCTCACCTGTAAAGTTCTGTTCAGGTAAGTAAATCTGGAGTGAAAAAGACACCCAGAACACAATCACATACTGATATAATCAAGACATTATGTAGGTCTACCAATGGTCCAAATAATTTGTTTATTTCGATCCAAAATCACCTCGTAAATTAGAAGTAAACGGAAACGTGTACACCTGCTTTCAGCAAGTACTAGCAAATGAGAGCATGCACTCACTCCGACACTGGTTTCCCTGCATGCACCAAAACAAATTCACTCCTCTGATAATATCTCTTTCAATTCAGACATGTCATTGACATAAAGGTAATATAACAACATGAAATGACATATTTTGTACTTTCATGCGACTTTTAGGTTATAAAACGTGGAGAAGAGACGAGGAGGATATGTATAACTTGCAATGTGTAAATACAAAATCATGTTGAGTCATCATTAATGGCTATCGTTCACAATAACCATTGGTTTGTTGTATTTCAGTATGATACCATTGGAAAGGAATAATGTAAAGCACAGAGCCAGACAATATAAAACAACAATGGTGTCCTAAGTCAGGGGAGACAATCCATTTGCCATGGAGCAGTATTAGGCAGACTATGGGGCAATTTTAACATGACAACAGATAACACATAGGATTCGCCAAATGTTAACATGAAAGGGAAAATCTAGAATAATACATGGTGATTGTATTTGGACACATTCTCATGGCAGATTTAAATGTTGAAGGTTTGTGAAAGATTCAATCATATTTAGCCATAGCACAGCAATATATTATATTTTGAGAGTGACACAGACTTCAAATGCCATATTCAAAACCAGATTTGCTGTTAAATGATGAAGAATCTGAGGACCTTGGTAGGATTTCTTCAGTTTGACATAAGCCTGTTGGGATGACACGGGTAAGAATGCTGATGGATCCAGTGAAATATCAGGATGAACTTATCTAAGGGGACAACAAAATCCCATTTTACAAGCAGCGACGACCTCTCTGTTGGGAATGTTGCTCCTGTTTCTTCGACATTCATCAATGTTCCAGACAAACGAATGAGCAAGTCACTCCATGATGTTCGAGTGGGGACTGTGGAAGAGAAAACCAGTCGGATTGATGAAAAACGACCACCGCTGCCACCTGGTGGTACCAGTCAAGCAGAAAAAACAGGGGTAACAACTTTAGGACCAGGTGGTGTCTCTGTAAAGTGGAGCAAGGATGGCTCAGGCTCAGGAAAGGTATGCTGTATAATCTCCATCTTGACAATACCTATCTAGAGTATATTGGCTCAGGGCCCATAACCTTTCAACTGTCTATTCATCTGTGCTGCTGATCATGAAGAACATTTAAAGTACTATTTTTTCTGTACATGTAGTTGCTGTATTGATTCGATAATTTTGGATCTACTTTTTATTTTATGGATCAATTTCTTGAGAGAAAATTAATCAGATTAGATATTAGGTAAGTGAATTGTTTTATCTAGGGAGACTATCTTATGGTCTAGATATTATAGACAGTAACTCCATCTTATTTAAGTTATATTGTTTAAACAGTCTTGAGATCAGGGATTCAAATAGTATATAAAAGTTTTATCAACCTAATACCTAAGTCTGGATCAGTGAGGTAGTCTGAAATATTTCTCAAAATAAAAAAATTATTACTGTCATCTTTAACCAAGGTAATAACTAGATAAATGATGAAAGCTCAGTTAGTCACTTGTTTTATATATTTATTCATGCTTTGGTTTACAGAGTATAAAAGGAGGTAGTCGTGATTTAGAGAGCACAGAGGAAGAGGTGGTGATCTGCTACCAAGATGAGGCTGTGACAGTTGGAGAGACAGGGGCAGGTAACTCTGCCAAGACAGAGGCACCTCCTAGACTGATGATAGTTTCTAGCAAGATACGTAACAGTATGGCTCTACGGCATGCTATTCTTCCAAATGTGATTTTCGTGCAATACAAGTGTGATTCTACGTCCTTGGAAGGGATTCTTAGTAAGTTATTTAATTTAAAAAGTGATAGCAGTTTGTATCTGAGTGAAATGTAAAACAAAAGTCACTTCTTTCCTTTTATGCCACTAATAGTTCATGGACTCAATCTCAGGTTTTCAATTTCTACTTGTCTGCTGTCTGTGTAAAAGTGTTTGATTCATTTTTGAATTAGCTGCCAGTGTCATTAAACTTCTATGTTGAAACACATAAAGTGACTGTTATGAGAATTTGGTCACTGTGACCTATATTTTCTACTTGTCAGGTCTAGTGACAACAACTTTGAACTCGAGGAAGGTCAATAGTATAGCACTGATACTGAGCTGTGTTGGATCTTCCATACATTTGTCTGGTAAAGACGAGAAAGTAAGTTTCTTCATATCTAAATTCTCAGATAAGAAATGTAGTTTGATATTGGCTATGTATCATTATCATAAAATTAAACTTAAGTAAAAAATAAATAAAATTTGTGAATGGATTATTTTAGTTTCCTTTCCATAATTAAGTTGAAAGTGTATTTCTTAATGAGTCTTTTAACAGACTTTGCTAATTCATGTCACTCTAAAAGTGAAGAAGGGGGTGGAGTTGGTACTGTGAGCATTGCTTTATTATTTTTTGTCTTCTGGATTCATGTAAAATAGATGGGTATTGACAGCATCAGCCTTTCATGTTATTAGTCCAAAATTCTTGAAGAATTTTTTCTGTTTTGAATGGGTTTGTAAGAAATATATTTTCATGTCAATGATGCCATCTTAATATATTGCTAAATTTTTTAAAATTATCAAGTTCAATTCTTTATATCTTCAACAGGTAATTACCAAGGAAACCATATCAGAATCTCAGCCAATCAGGGACTTCTTTACAAACCTAGTCAATGAACATTTAGACAAAACAAGTGAAGAGCTGCAATTGGACCTCCTGGCTTGTAATGCTGTCCAACATGGCGACTCGACAACCATCACCAAGGAGATTGAAACACTGATTCAGGTATGAGACTTAAACCTGTTGTTGATAAGGAGCTTAGTAACAGGAGGAATAAAGCAGTAGGATTTTCCAGTTGTGTAAAGTATATAAGCCTAGATATACAAGCTGAAGTGTAATTACGTAGCAATTGGTTTGTCTTTTGATGTCTTATAGGGAAGCCATCTTGTGTCCCAAATATTTCATATATCAGACAGAAAAAAGAGAAAACTGGATTTATCAGTACTACATTGTAAATATAAATAAAAATTCCTAGTCAATTTTGTGTTTTTCCAGCATCCTGTGACAATGTCCAGGGATTTAGTTGGAGCAGACCACAAAGTGACCCTGGCTAAAACTGGAGATGTCAAAGTCACGTAAGTTTTAGCATTCTTGAAAACATTTATGTACAACATAAGACCACTTATTATGTACAACATGTACAGTCAGGTGGCGCCATGGGAACACACTTGCCTTTCACCTAGCTATCTGGTTCTGTTCCCGGAATGGATGTGAAATGCCCAACTACGTGGGTTTTTCTTGGGGTACTGCGGTTTCTTCACACAGTAAGACCCCTCACGTGCTTCCTTCTGGGCCAACAAGAGTGATTAATATATTTTCCAGTAATTTTCCCTGTGGTAACTCCAGTCCAGTCAAACACCAGCCATTAAAACAGTTTTAAGTACCTGATAACAAGCTGCTTGTGATTTTCATATGGTATTCAGTCCTGAAAGTGCTATGTTGTTTCATCAACCCTAATATGTTATATGTTATTATATGCTGATACTATATTTAGAGTTATTACAGCTATTATCATAAAATTTATCAGAACCCAGTTTGATAATCAGTTTAGAAATTTAGGTGACAGAGAAGTATTAATTACTTGTGAGTGACTCTGATTAAAGAGAAGGATTACCTGTTTTGTTTGTAAGATGTCAGATTTCTTTATTGCAGTTGTGTAGGAGAGCTTTACTTTAAGGTGGAGAAACTGCGTGGCTGGAGTGGTCAACAACAACAGTCTCTAGCTGGGTTTGAGAAAATACAAACGGTTGGTAAAGGTACGTTGTACAATACAAATGGTCATCAAAAGTAAAGTGAAGAAACAGTCAGCAAAGGTTTGATATTTAATTCAGTTTTCATTATGGATGGAAGTTAATCTATACAGTTTTTATGTCATCTGACCGAAGGGTCTGATGACCTATTGCGATCGCCTTTTGTCTGGTGTCGTCTGTCATACGTTGTCCGTCGTAAACATTTTCAACTTCTTCTCAAGTTCTACAGGTCTCATTGAGCTGAAACTTACCTGAAATGATCGTGACATGATCCTAACCAAAGTTTGTTAATTTCACGTTGGTCTGAAATCCAACATGGCCACCATCTTGAAAACACATTTGCGACTTCTTCTCAAGTTCAAAATTTGAAATCTTTTATGTCAGATGACCGTTAAGGCCCATGGGCATCTTGTTTACATTTACTGATAACAAGATGACACTGTGACTTCATTTTATGCTATTGTACATGTGCAGTAAAAGCAATTGCTGGATAAGGGGAAAGTATGATAGTTCGGTAAGACAGGAGAGAGGACATCCTGGATGACTGAAACCTTGCCTCTGGAAAGAAATGAATCAGCAGTCAGAATCAAGCTCAGTCATTGTCTATACCTGATTATCTCCCCTTATTGTCTTCATCATCTGATTTTCTACATATACGTCTGAACAAGGTTTTATCTAGTTGTGTCTATACCTGATTATCTCCCCTTAATTGTCTTCATCATCTGGTTGCCTATATTTATATCTGAACAAGGTTTTGTCTAGTTGTGTCTATACCTGATTATCTCACCTTAATTGTCCTCATCATCTGGTTGCCTATATTTATATCTGAACAAGGTTTTGTCTAGTTGTGTCTATACCTGATTATCTCCCCTTAATTGTCCTCATCATCTGGTTGCCTATATTTATATCTGAACAAGGTTTTGTCTAGTTGTGTCTATATCTGATTATCTCCCCTTAATTGTCCTCATCATCTGGTTGCCTATATTTATATCTGAACAAGGTTTTGTCTAGTTGTGTCTATACCTGATTATCTCCCCTTAATTGTCCTCATCATCTGGTTGCCTATATTTATATCTGAACAAGGTTTTGTCTAGTTGTGTCTATACCTGATTATCTCCACTTAATTGTGTTCATCATCTGGTTGTCTACATTCTACATATATATCTAAACAAGGTTTTGTCTGTAGCTTTGTCTATACCTGCTTATCTCCCTTGTTAGGAGCCTACGGTGCAGCAGTCTTGTATAAGAAGAAAGATGATGAGTCCCTGGTTATCCTGAAGGAGATTAATATGCACGACCTTAATGCTGCAGAACGACAACTTGCCCTCAATGAGGTACTGTTGTGTGTTACACTTTCAGCTTATAATATCAGTGACCTCAAATCACTGATTTTGTTTAAGGATTAATATCAGTAAACACAGCAGACCAAATGTTAAGATCTGTGTATTTCTCAGATTAAAGGCTAAAATGTTTTACTTACTACGATTAACATGATATACATTATTAGTTTTTGTGTCTTGAGTTTCAGCTTTCTGGAAGTTGAAGCAACTTTCACAACAATTGACTTTTTTGAAACAAACTATTTGTATTTTCACTAATATTTATTATCCCTGTCTGTCTTTTTTCACTCTGATTATCTCTTGTCTAGTTGTTTCGATCATGAATGTAGAACACATGCAAAAGACAGTTGATATACTGCAATTGTGTCAGGTTTCATCACTGTAACAAGATTTGTTGTTGTTTGCACAAGAAATGATAAATTTTCACAATAAGGTAATGTGACCTCTGATTCATAAAATGAAAACTTCTATGAATAATAATCACAAGTGAATTTGCATCTTGTTGATAAAAAATTTCTGAGAAAAACCTACGAAATTAACTAAGTGTAATAGCTTTGATAGGAAACATGACTACTCAGTATACAGCATTTTGGTACTATCATTATGTGTATAATTGTAGGTGAATATCCTTGCTTTCTTGGACCACCCAAACATTATCAGCTACTATGACAGTTTTGAGGAGGACGGCGTTCTTATGATAGAGATAGAGTATGCAGATGGCGGGTAAGTAGTGGCAACAAGACAAGATTTTCACTGAATGTAAACATTTATTCTAGGAGTCTCATTTTGTTAGAAAGTTTGTCCTTTTGTCATAGAGTCAGCCATTTTGTCAGAGAGTCTGTCATTTTCTTACGGAGTCCTACATTTAGTCAAGGAACCAGTTATTGGATCATGGACTTGGTCATTTAATAAGAAATTCTCAGCTTGTCAGTTAAACAGAATCAGTTAAGCAGTGAGTCAGTCAAATGAAAAGTGAGTCAAATAATTAGTGAGTCAATCAACTGATAAGTGCATCAGATATTTAGTTAGTCTATCAACTGAGAAATGAGTCAAATAATTAGTGTCAACCACTTGATAAAAGAGTCAAATAATTAGCGAGTCAATCAGCTGATAAATGAGTCAAAGAACTAGTGAGTCAATCAAATGATAAGTGAGTTAACTTGTGGTGAATATTCACAGGACACTTGCCCAGTTCCTGTCACAGCAAGAGAAACCTCTTGAGGAAAAAACTATCCTGACCATGTTCCAGCAGATTGTGGCAGCCATTAGACACATCCATGAACACAATGTTCTACACCGTGACTTAAAGACTGCAAACATCTTTCTCACCAAGGAAGGTGTGGTCAAAGTAGGCGACTTTGGTATCTCCAAAATGATGAGTTCCGCTAACAAGGGAGCTAATACAGTTCTGGGGACACCTTACTACATCAGTCCAGAGATGGTACAGCTTTTTACTTTTATATCAAGATTTCCTCCATTTGTTTTTATCCATAATCTACTTTACTCATTGAGCCTAAAACATTGAGTTTCTGCTACCATTTCATCATGTATAGCTCAGTCAGTCAGAGCTTTGTAAGCTCAGATAAAGATCTAAAATGTGTGGTTTTAAACTCCCTATATACAGTGGTTGGTGTTTCACAGGAAGCTGAGAAACAGACCTTTTATTGAAGTTGCATCCTTGGGCACTTTACCCTAACTGCTCTGGAGGCAAGTGACTGGCCTCCAGTATGTTGTTCAGTGAGGTATCCCTCAGCTCCTACAATGAGACCTTACTTCAAATTGACCCTGGCTGTTCATGGGGCCATAAACCCAGGGAACAAACAAAATATTTTGTGTTTAACGTTTGTGAGATATGAAGCCTGACTTTTATATGTAATAATTGAGAATTTTAATATGAGATGTTATTTTGCTTATCTATGTACATTCTTTGTATACAAAAGATGAATTACTGATAGAGTATACATCACTGAATGCGCACTTTACAGTAGAGAATAGGAATGTACTATAACACTTGAATTTTGTAATTAAAACCTGTGACTTTATTTTGTCACCCCTACATGAGCTGCCCTTCTTCTCAAAAACTTTATCTTAACTTTTCTCAACCTGGCCCTTGTTTTCTGCTTAACTTTACCTAACCTTTTACATGTTTTATTTGATGAACATTTACCCTGACCAAGCTCAACCAAACTTAAACTTTGTTTTATTTGATGAACTGTGACCTTTCCTCGCTTGACCATTCTTTTCGTTTTATGAACTTTTGACCTGACCTGCCTTTCATTAGTTGAACTTTGATCTTTCAGTGTGAAGGGAAGCCGTACAATGATAAGTCAGATATTTGGGCCCTTGGCTGTATCCTGTATGAGATGGCATGTCTGCAGAAAACATTTGAAGGCTCCAACTTACCTGCTCTGGTCAACAAAATCATGAAGGTTTGTGTCAGTGGCCTGTTTGAAAATAGGACCACACTGATGTTAATATTTTCAAGTAGATAATTTTCTCTCTTGATTTAAGTACAGTCAAAGTTTAATATTTCAAACAATTATAACCCGAAGACCTCATTTAATTCAAAGTATTTTGTTGGTTCTGGCAGAAGTTCACACTAATCATCTGAACTTCAAATACTTGGATACTCAAAGTTTTTCCACTGTCTCGGCAGGTTTAGCTGTGTTAGATTTATCTATTTTGTAGCCTACTTAAGAGTTCTTAAGTTTTAATACAGGATTTTATATGTAACATTGACAGGGTCAGTTTGCTCCTGTCAAAGATAACTATAGCTCAGGATTCAAAGAAGTTATCATGGATATGCTACGACAGGATCCAGAACACCGCCCATCAGCTCACGAACTCATGTACACAAGACTGCCACAGGTATGAGTGCTGAATTCTGATCATATTGATGAATTGTAATAAATATTTTGCTCTTATGTGTAAATATGAACATTAATGTAGCATAAAGGGAATGGATTACTTACGAATCTTTCAAATAATGCATGTCACAGTCAGGTAGCTTACACCCTTAAGTCTCCTTGTCATAGCAAGGTAGTATATGCCTTTAAGTCTCCTTGTCATAATTAGGTAGCATGCATCCTTAAGTCAACATGTCACATTTAGGTGACATATATCCTTAAGGTGTTTCCATTTTATAGTAAGGTACATGAAGCATATACTTCAAATTCTCCATGTCATAGGTAGGTAACATGCATCTTTGCGTCTCCATGTCACAATTAGGAAGCATACACCTTTAAGTTGTTTCCATGTCAAAGTCAGGCAGCATACATCCTTAAGTTTCCTTGTCACAATTAGGTAGCACAGTATTTGAAGGTAGCAGACATCCTTTAATATTGTGTTGAAATTATTGCAGTTGATGAATTCCTTTGAGGACCCCACAACAGACTGTGATGACGATATGCTGCAGCCCCATGACTGTAACCATGACCACGCTAAAAATAAAAAGAAAACCAGGTAGAGTTATACAGTAAAATAAAACAGTCTGACTTAATGATACCCAAATTTTTTTTTTTTCACAATTTTCAGAAATGATATTATCAGAAGTGATGACAGATGTAATATTATTGATCATGTATCATTGTGGTCTCTTGCATTCATTATAACAAGGTGGCTGGGTGATGCAGTGGAATCACACTTCCACGTTAGTGACCAGGGTTCAATTACTAGATCAGATGTAAAATTATATACTGTCATCTGCCCTACCATATGACTTTTTCCAGGACCCAAGTTTCCTTCCATATCGTAAGACACTCTACATGTAGTATAAGCTGTAAATCAAAGTTCAGAAGAGGCCACATTAGCAAAGTTGGTAGAGTTTTCACCAACATAACCGAAGTTCAAGAACTGAGGTGCGTGGTGTGATGCTCCCTGCCTTCAGCAGCTGAGAAACGGACAAGACTGCACTGTTGTGCTTATGACATTTTACCCTAATTGGTCTGAATGGCATGTGCTGGTTCTCCACTATGTTGTTCAGTTAGGTAGCCGCCATCTTGAGTTCATGGACCCAATCTCAAAAATAATCCTGGCTGTCCATTGGAAAATAAACCCAGCAAATGAAACAAATTAATCATTTCTAGGTGTGTTTTTTGGAACAATATTGAACATATTAAAAGTGATTTGATTGGGTGGGGATATCAAATAGACAATATGTTTAAAATTATAACAAAACGCACTTGGTTACAGTTCTACAGTGGAGAAAAGGTACAGTGATTGCACATCAGTATATATCTAAATAGATATTGTCTTTTTTATTTATTTTGGCACTCATTACTTATTTAAAATTATAAAAATGATGATGATTTATTTTATAGAATTATTCTAATATCTTATCTTTTCAAAATCATATTAAAGTAGAAATACAAATACATTTTAACCGTTTGTATACTGGTTCAACATGTCTACTTCGTTAGTGAGATTTAAAACACTGATGTTTCGTGATGTATAGTTGTTTTTATTTGTTTTTGTTTTAGATCAATACCATTATGATTATTTATGGGTACATCACCTTACAAATCCTACATAATGTTTTAAATTATCATTTCGTATTTTGACACAGAAGTATGTTTCATATTTTATGTTTGATGTTGTCTGCTTTGGAATATACACTCTTCCTCAACAGAAACACATCATAAACAACCTGAATATTTGTGTACCTTCCCATTGCACTAATACAAATTTTCCCAGAATTCCCTCATAAACACAAATCTTCCCAGAATTCCCTTATAATCACTGCACTTGAAGAATGCTCTGTGATTTCCTTTCAATGATTGCAGCATGAATGAATGATAGAATCTGTTATACAACCAGTCAGTGAACAGCAGCCTAAGTGTGATTCATTTGATTTTATTTATAGCTTACCTGGTATAAAGGGCGCGACGGGATAATTCAAATTTCAGGCAAAAAAGGCAGCTGGTGAACGGTCATAATGTTTAGTTAATATGATTCTCAGATGAAGCCTGACAATCTTTGAAAAAATTACCTTGGCCGAGATTCATCGGTTCAAATAGGTTAAAACACTCAAACATTTTAAGATTAACTTAAAGGCCTAGGATAGTGACATTTGGTCAAAATGTTACTGGACAAAAAAAAACAAAGAAAACCTGAGAAAAGAAATGGGCATAATCCATATTCAAGGTCACTGAGGTCAAATTTGTAACAACAATCATTCCCAAGACTTCATCTTATAAATCAAACGTCATCTAGTCATGTCATTTGACAAAAAAATGTTATTCATATGAATGTCTATGAGGCCTATGAAAAAAAAACATTTTCAATGTCACGGGCATCACATTTTTTAACCAAAAATTTTTAAAAATATATCATGAGGCAGTATAGGGTTCATCAATCGTAGATAAATCGTGTCATGCTTTGCGTGTAAGAATGCTCATTTTTATTGTTGCTTTAAGTATATGAGATTTAGACCCACATGAAATGTCAGTGATGTCAGTGATGTCAGATGTAAATGTACAGAATTTGTAAAAAGCATTCAATACCAGGAGAGTAATGCAGGCCATTTGGACCTCTTGTTGTTTGGCCTTGGTATTGTTCTACTATAAGATGATTTTTTTGTGTGACATTTGTGATGATTTTATTTCATTTCAAAATGTTTTATGAAATCAGAAAGTTTTAATGGAAATAAGGCAACAGGCAATGCCTATACAAGCCCAATTTGTGATGATTAACTCATTATTACTCATTATGACTCATTATAATTCATTATGACTCATTATAATTCATTATGACTCATTATAGCTCGTTAGAATGAAATTCCACCACAATGTATACTGTATTTGTATAAAGAGTTGCGTTTCGTGATATATAACAGTTAACTTCACCATGTGGGATGAAAACTGTGCTATTTTACACACATACTCAAATATATCATAAATCCCTTTTCTTAATATTTAATTTCCAGATAACTGCAGAGTTATAATGAACTCTTAAACTTCATTCTACATTCCATGTCTTCGTTTTAATTTCAGATCATTGTTTTTTTACTTTGAGAGCTCCACAGCTTCCATCACCCCAATAGAGCTTCCTCCTAAAATCAAAATTAGACATGTAAGTATGACCTTCGACCTTTAAAATCAGATTTTTATAATAACTTTTAACTATTGTCATTAATCTGCCAAAGAGCATTATCGCAACTGAATTGATAATCTGTACAGTATTTTGTACAGAAATTTAACATTTCAAAAATTTTTATTGTGTAACCCAGTTGGTTTAAAATTGAAAAAGATGTAGTAATGATACATAGAAATCAGTCGATTGTTCTTTAACAGCTGAATTTAATCTCTTGTCCTGATTGGAGTTAAAATGAATATTGATAGAGTTTTAATTCATATTAAAATTTTAGTAATCTTATTTCATCGCCTTTCTTACTTAAAATATTCTGCAAATATTCTTACATGTATTGCTGATTTTGTGTGATGTTAAGCAAGCAGTTATTGTAAAGATATGGTTGTAAAAAGTATTAAGCAAGATTTGGTTAATAGATTGGCATTAGTAGATACACTGTAATTCCAGGCCGCTGCTGGTGAAGATCATGTGATTGTCGTTACCACTGAGAGACAGGTGTTTACCTGGGGAGAAGGGGGCAAAGGTCAACTTGGACATGGCAACACTGACTCGAAAACAAAACCGACACTGGTGGAGGCTCTGACGGGGAAGTCAATCTCAAGGTAATGGGGTACATTTGGGGCCTAGTTAGGTAGTTAATTATTGGTCCAAAACTAAACCTTGTATGGTGGAGGCTCTGAGGGGGAAGTTAATCTCAACGTAATGGGGTACAAGAGGGGACCTAGTTAGGTAATTAATCATTGGTCTGAAACTAAACCTTGTTTGGTGGAAGTTTTGAGGTACTGTAAATAATTGCAAAGAATATGTACCTTACAAACAAATAAACAAAGGAAATCCATTGTCCTGGTTGTTGACTTCCATGAAAAGTACATTTGTTTTATTTCAACATTTTAGTGAAACTGCACAATTTTGAACCATCGCCAATAAACTAATATTACAGTAATGAGGTGCAATTGGGAATAGATTGTACTGTAAAGAGTAAGTAATCCCATGCTCAAATATTCAGCTGTTATTGGTTAAACACTTACTGATGTCAAAAAATTAGATAATCCTACATGCCGTTTTATTTTGATAGGAAAAGAATTATTGTGATTAAGGAAATGATGGTTAACTTTTAAAAATCATGGTCAAACGAAATGTGGCTCTTAGAAATTGTAGTGGAAGTCTTCGATATTTGTTAAATTTCATTAGGGTCACATAGGGAATCAAAAAATGAAAGATGGCGCTTAAACAAACGAACCTGTTGATGCTCGTTCTGGTATGCCGATTTGATAGGAAATGTTAGAAGTGATGTTAGTTAAAAATTTTCAATGAATGAAGTGTATCTTGATGACAGAGGGTGTTGTGGAGCAGGGTTCAGTATATTCGCAAGTGACAACGGGATTATTTTGACATGTGGTGACGGGACAAAAGGATGTTTGGGACACGGGGACTGGTCGTCCACCTACAGACCCCGCCTCATTGAGTCTCTACTCAGGTAGGTCATCTGTTTTACTGGATACAATTCAATATACCAAGAAAATCTATTTAGTTTCATTTCTTTCGTGTACGTGTGACTTTACATGCTGACAAACTATCAATTATTATCAAACCATATAGATCACAACATAAGGCAGTTTTACAACTAGAAACGATTTTAATAAATTTTGAAGCCTTACAAATACTGGCAAAATATTTCATCTAATTCCTTTATAAACAGAACATAACAGAATCTAACAATCTATTCTCTATATATCTTTATTTGGGATTTTGGACTGTGTTGTAGTAACATTGAAGGCTTGTGGTCTTCAGTCAAAGGAGTTACAAGTCCTATATCCATCATTTTAAGATTGTAAAGTAAAACACTCTAAAGCAGAGTTGGCCAGTTTTTCATTTTGATGCAACTTTATAATTTCTATTCAAAAGATCATAGATTTGAATGATCCTGAAGCACTCTTATCTGTAAGCTGAATGTCATGGACCTTTGGATCCTGAGGATGCATTCATTACAATATTATATAAAGTATAGCAATCTTTAGTATTTGTCAAATATAGATAAAATTACATACATCTTCCTTGTCTTGTCTGTAGAACATCTCCCTTTAGCCTTTTGTTAAGGTGTCTACCATGAGAGATACTCAGTTTGGTGGGACATTTTTAGTACGCCCTTCTCTTGTCTTTAGAGAGTCTCCCTTTAGTATATAATTAAGGCATCTACCATGAGAGATACTCAGTTAGGCAGGACGTTTTTAGTACGCCCTTCTCTTGTCTTCCTTTAGCCTATAATTAGGGTGTCGACCATGAGAGAGATACTCAGTTTGGTGGGACATTTGTAGTACGCCCTTCTCTTGTCTTTAGAGAGTCTCCCTTTAGTATATAATTAAAGTGTTGACCATGAGAGAGATACTCAGTTTGGTGGGACATTTTTAGTACTCCCTTCTCTTGTCTTTAGAGAGTCTCCTTTAGTATATAATTAAGGCATCTACCATGAGAGATAGTCAGTTAGGCAGGACGTTTTTAGTACACCCTTCTCATTCTTGATCATTTACACTATATCTGTGGGTTCTTGTTACAGTGTTGATGTGATTTCCGTGTCTTGTGGACCCAAACATGTTGTGGTTGTTGGAAGCGACGGTGAAATATTTTCCTGGGGCTGTGGAGGTGATGGAAGATTGGGGCTGGGCAACGAGGATGATCAGTGAGTATTTGTCTAACTGGTCTTCAGTCTGCTATTATAACCTTCCTGGCTTCAGCAGATGAGTTGGAAGTATGGCTATTAGTATGTACGTTTATGGGTTAGCTGACAAATGATATGCCCTGATGTCGTATATTATGTAATATTATACACATGTATAACACAATATTGTAATAAGCAATTATCTGCTATTGTTTTAGCTGTGAAACCAAGTCCAGTGTGAAATTAGCCTAACTTATATGGCAGTTAATTGGAACTTTCCATTTTACTTTCTAATGAGTACAATTTGATTGATAGAGTCTGATGTAAGCAGCCATGACATATTTAATTAAAAATTTACTATTGTGCAACGTTAACTCAAACATTATGAGAAAATTTAGTTTTTTATTATTGACTTTCATCAGGTGTCAGCCTACGGAGGTGAACATCACAGAGCCGGTTGTTGTACGCGATGTGAGATGTGGTGTTGACGGTACCATGTTCCGTACAGATGTTGGGGGCGTGTTCGCCTGTGGTAGTAATCTTGACAACAAACTTGGCCTCAATCATAGACAGGGTTTTATCATGGCCATGAAAAATCTCTTTATCAAGGTAAGATTGGTTAGATTGCTGACAAGACAGCTGACAGCCGTATCAGTTTAAACAATATACTAACGTTTCGGAGATACAGTATTATTCCTATGATAAGCCACAGTCTGTCAACATACCATCCTGACTTCTAATTCACAGTCTTGGAATGGGCTTAAGACACGATAATTCACATTTGATAACATTTATTTATAGTTTCAATATGTATATGGACGTACAGTAATTATAACCATATATGGTCTCGTCGCAGGTATATGTGGAGGCATGTAGCTGTGTCTATAAAATAGAGATTTGTGACAGTATAATCATGAAACACTATCACAAAACACAGTTAGGGTGTCTCCATTCTAACTCATGTAGATTTAACGAGCGAAAACAAGACAATTATTGATGTTTTGTACATAATTAAACATAAACCTGGGTTATCTGATTCAGGATTCATAGTTCCAATAGCTGACCTTCCAGAGTCACACCAGTGCTCTTAAGGTCATGTTTATGTTAACTACAGTTGTCATCTGGGTAAGATAAGCATATGAGAAGATTGTTGGATTAGATTGTCATTTTTACTCACAAACTGTTTTTGTTACTTCTGTCATGATTCCTCTAGAATGAAACAGATTCTTTTTTAAACCTAAACTATTAAATGTATTGCTTGGGCTATTGTCTTTCTTTATTGCTAAAATTGTGTTGAAGAGATAGAAAAATATCTTGGTATCAGTGTATCAATTTATCATGATTTTTTTATCTCTGTTTCAAGTGGTTTCCTAAAGAAATCAGTGTTTTCTCTGTAACAATGATAAGTTCAGCCTTACAGTGATTTTTTTATTTACTTTTTTTTTTAGACTTGAGCTGGTTTTGTGCATCGCTTTAAGGTATTGTTTTAAATTTTCCAGACCGAGGTGGAGGGACAGAAGGAACCAACACCCGTCAGAGCTTTAGCCCGACACAAAGTACTGGACATCACTATGGGTCTGCATCACTCAGCAGTCATCGTAGAACCTGGCCATGTGTTCACATTTGGACGTAACACTGAAGGTCAACTGGGGATCAGCAACACCAAAGACTGTAGTGCTCCAGTCGAGGTCAAGTCGATGGCTGACTGTGTAATAAATGTAGGTCAAGGTCAAACCTATTGTTGACATTATGGTAAATGTAGGTCAAGGTCAAAATTTGTAGCTAGACACAGAAACAAGTCATATTCTTAGGAGGAATAATTACTGTTATATGTAAAGGCACATCACCTTGGGATTACCATATTGTATTTTGAGTCTGTCAAAGTGTGAGATGGCACACTCTTTTGATGGTATTTACCAGGCTCCCTCAGGAAAGAAATGTTGTCAGTTGTATACCTACAATTACTGCACAATTTAGAACAATTGGTATCACCAAAGACCTTCTGAATACCAGGTGCTGGTCATACTATTGTTGTACAGGTGGTTACAGTATGTAAATGTTACCCGTGTTAGAACACATGTGACATTTCAAACATACACTTATGAAAACCATCACTGCTAAGAATAAAACACTTGTCATAGTATTACAATTCTGTTACTATTTCACGTAGAGTTGGGAATGATAACAGTAACGAACAGCAAGTATATATACCAAACAATAGATAAATGTAGGTCTATGGCTTACTGTTATAAACATCAGATATATGACAGTTAATTGACAATGTCTTTATATCACAGAGAGTCCAGTGTGGAGACCATTACACAGCAGCCAGTACAGTTAACAATGAACTGTACTACTGGGGACTTCGCTTCAAGGTAAGTAAACTCTCTCAAAATTGAAGTAAAGAAAGATATAATGCTATCCTCTGTTGTCCCTCATGGGAAGGGTGATGGAAAGGGGTTGGATGATGAAGAGGAGGGAGGGTGTCAGGTGGTGGAAAAATCAGAGAGATGTCGCAATGAACAGTTTTTGAAACAAAAATTAATTTTCTCTTTGATCAATTTTGAAGGTACCCTCGTCCCAGTCATATGTCAATAAGGACAATGATAGTTGTTCCAGTATTAATGGTAGTGTTATCAACAAGGATGATATTCGCCTAGAGAGTGTCACTCCAAGGGAGGCTACTAGGGATGATGTCCCATTGGAAAGTGTTACGCCCAGGAAAGGGTCAACGTCGCACTCACGACAAGCCAGTTTGACCAGTATATCTAGTCTAGCCAGTACAAGGGAGTCCGGACAACTGTCCAGTCATGATGGTAAGTTATCACAATTGTACATTAAAAATGTATAACACCAAAGTTATAAACACAGTTGTCTCCCTTATGAGAAAAAAAAACGATTTTATTCATTTATTTATATTTCATTTCCTATAAATCTGCATTTTATTACATAATTTGGTGTTATATCAAAGTGATAATTTCCATGGAAAATTTTAAAAAAGACCATTTAGATCTTGTCAGCTTATTGATCAACATAGAGAATAGATACATGAGTAGCTGATAAATTCATCTTTGGGAAACATAGAATGAAGCGTTATTCTTTATTGATATAATTTTTATTTATTGAAAATCACATACTACATATCCTGTCAATAGACCTAAAAGTGTTATCTGCGTATCCTGTCAATAGACCTAAAAGTGTTATCTACATATCCTGTCAGTAGACCTAAAAGTGTTATCTACGTATCCTGTCAATAGACCTTAAAGTGTTATCTATGTATCCTGTCAATAGACCTAAAAGTGTTATCTACATATCCTGTCAATAGACCTAAAAGTGTTATCTACATATCCTGTCAATAGACCTTAAAGTGTTATCTACGTATCCTGTCAATAGACCTAAAAGTGTTATCTACGTATCCTGTCAATAGACCTAAAAGTGTTATCTGCGTATCCTGTCAATAGACCTAAAAGTGTTATCTACATATCCTGTCAATAGACCTAAAAGTGTTATCTACGTATCCTGTCAATAGACCTAAAAGTGTTATCTACGTATCCTGTCAATAGACCTAAAAGTGTTATCTACGTATCCTGTCAATAGACCTAAAAGTGTTATCTACATATCCTGTCAATAGACCTAAAAGTGTTATCTATGTATCCTGTCAATAGACCTTAAAGTGTTATCTGCGTATCCTGTCAATAGACCTAAAAGTGTTATCTATATATCCTGTCAATAGACCTAAAAATGTTATCTACATATCCTGTTAATAGACCTAAAAGTGTTATCTGCGTATCCTGTCAATAGACCTTAAAGTGTTATCTATATATCCTGTCAATAGACCTAAAAATGTTATCTACATATCCTGTTAATAGACCTAAAAGTGTTATTTACATATCCTGTCAATAGACCTAAAAGTGTTATCTACGTATCCTGTTAATAGACCTAAAAGTGTTATCTACATATCCTGTTAATAGACCTAAAAGTGATCTACATATACTGTTAATAGACCTAAACGTGATCTACATATACTGTTAATAGACCTAAAAGTGTTATCTACATATCCTGTCAATAGACCTTACAGTGTTATCTACATATCCTGTCAATAGACCAAAAAGTATTATCTGCGTATCCTGTCAATAGACCTTACTGTTTTATCTACATATCCTGTCAATAGACCTTACAGTGTTATCTTCATATCCTGTCAATAGACCTAAAAGTGTTATCTGCGTATCCTGTCAATAGACCTAAAAGTTGGAAATTCAAATACCAGGGCTAGTATTCATGAAACCATTCTCATGCTCAATCATGGATTTTGTGCTCAAGCAAACTTTTTTTTTTTTATAATTCTCCTAAATCATATAAATAATACAAATGTCAGATATAAACCTTGAATATAACTTTGACTTGAAGTCCTTTCAAATTATTTTTAAATCTTTGGCAAAATCAGCCTTATTTATTAATTTTTAACTTAAACAAGACAAAAGGCTTGGGCACAAAATTCATGCTTGAGTATGAGAACAGTTTCATGAATACGGGCTTAGGTTTCAGCTTGTTGCGTCAATGTTTGATTCAAAACTTAAATTTTTTTTTGAAAATCAGTAACATAAAATTTCAGCATTTCCCTGCTGTTTTATATTCAGTGTTTTCTAACTGTTGTCTTTATAGGTACCTTGGAATCCAATGTAGCAGACGACAGTAACCATGACATCGAAAATCAGGACAAATCAAAGTTGGATGGCAGCCTGGACAATGTTAAAGCCCGCTCCACCCATAAACGTCAGGAAAGTGTTGACAGTATGTTTTCCCAAGGTTTGACAGACAGTGGAATTCCGAGCTCCCAGCCAAACACTCCATCAGACACAAGTAGTCTGACCAGACCAAGTGGATTTAGACCCTTAAGTAGGTACTCTTAGGGGCATGTGTGTGCATTGTATCTGTTTCTCTCACACTTCACAGACATATTAAAGCTTTTGTAAGAGAAAATGAGAAATGGGTCATAATTTTTTGTTGCAAAATCATGTCACATTGGGATGCATGATCAGTATTGATACACATTCAATTGTGACTATAGAGATAAAACAATGCATGAAAATATTGTGTCAGAAAAAAATACCCGGTCACCTCTTTGTGATGTAGACAGATATATCTAAAGATGTCCGTGTAAAGTTACAGAAGTTTGTGTTTATGTACATGATTTACTATAATTTAAATGAAGTTTGAAAATCAATAGAGCAGTTATTATATAAGAGAGTTATCTCCCCTGTAGGTAGCGTGCCACGTCGGACCTCCAGTGCCAGTAGTAGTCGCGAGAACAGTAAAGATAAAGATAAGGACAAAGACAAGGAAACGGAAATCAACAAAGACGAGTCAGAGATCATCTACCCTCCGATGCATCTTATGAAGTGAGTACATAGATAATCTATCGTACATTTCTTTTATTGTCACATTTGAATGCTATGTGACATTAAATGAAATGTGATATTAAAGGAATTAACCATTCTATTCTGTGAATTTTCATTGTAACAAGTGTCAGCATGCTATTTTTCCCCAATACCAAAGCAACCAGGTAATTGATATATATTTTTTATAATTTTTTTTAAAAATTCAAAGTTCAAATTTAATATGGCATGCTGTATTTTCAATTTGACCTGTGAACAGTGTAATGCATTAATGCATTTACTTGCCAAAAATTTATTAAATGCGAATAGTCGAACAATATTAAACCATGGTTTGGTATAGTTGTTTTGGATTCTGCAGTAAAACTAAGTGATTAGTATTTTCAAAATACTTGTTTATATTTAGAGAACATATCAATGATTTACCTTATCACAGCTGTAGTAATGTTAGAGAAAACTATTTACAAATTTAATTTTCTCCCCAGGATCAGTAAATCTGGAGATGAGTCTCTAACAATTAGCAGTTTCTTCTGTCATGGTGAGAATCTGTTTGTCCAGCTGGAGACATCAGCCCCACCTCCTCGACGAAAAAGTCGCAAGAAGAGAGGAATCAGGTGAGAGAACCTGCAGGGATTACCTTACAATCTGATGATTGTAGACTCATGACATCTTACTGCTGATTCAGTAGTTGTATTTACCTGTTAACTGTAGGTATTGTGTCTATAAACAATGAGGCTGTTGATGGATGATTCATCTTTCCATGTTTCTTGTAGATCTAATCATGTTTCCTTTTTTCAGCTTAGTATTTCACAATACTATTAGATGACTTAGTCCACCAAGGAAAGTAAAAACTCCCAAATTACTGTAATCTTGGAGTCCATAACAAATTGAAGCAAATTTAGAAAATCAAAATAGTAAACAAAGTTTTTACTTGACCATCAACAGGAAGCGATTTAGTGGAAATACCCTCACTGTGCCAAAAGATACAGCCCTTCTCTACTCGGCATCAAGTCGGGAGGGCGGGGACGAATACTCGTCGGAGACCTCGGAGATGGACACACAGGGAACAGTAAGAGGATTACCTCCCTTTAACTAGATAACATTATAAAGTCATCATAGTTTCTAGAATTTTGTCTGGATAACTCATCCTGTACTGAAAACGTAATTAATTTGGCATAATCAAATTTTAGTGCATTATTATTTTTTTGGTAAATTAGCACAATGATGAATTATCATGTCCATAAAATTTGCTCTGTAATCATTGTACAAAATTTTAGTGAAATCGTATTCTAGCATAAAAAACAATAAAATAAGTTTATTGCTAAAATATGTCCTTTTACAGTATATTTATAAGGCAGTAAGCCCATTCATATCTACAGCTTCTCAGTACCTAGATTGCCCACCAATGCTGTTTCCTTGTCCAGTAATAAGCCCCACCCCGCAACTTCAATTTTAAATTAGTATAACAGGATTTTTAGGTCACCTGAGTGCGTCATTAACTTTTCACATATTCGACTTCTTCTCAAGAACCACTGAATAGATTTTGACCAAACTTGGCACAAAGCATTCCCACGGGAAGCCGCTTCAAGTTTGCAAAGAAAAAGGGTGTTGCCCCAATAGGGGCCGCAGGAGGAGGAAAAAGGGGGTAAAATTAGGTAAATCTTTAAAAATCTTCTTCTTATGAACCAACAGTCAGATTAAATTCATATTTGATATTTAGGGTCCTTATGGCCAGGTCTACAAAGTTTGCGAATGAAAAAAAATTGGGTCAAAAAGTGAGCCCCCACTAGGGGGCACTCAAAAGGGTCAAAAAATCAGCTTTGACCAATTTCAACCAAATTTGGCACAAAGCATCCCCATGGGAATCCACTTCAAGTTTGCGAAGAAAAAGGGTGTTGCCCCAATAGGGGCGGCAGGAGGAGGAAAAAGGGGGTAAAATTAGGTAAATCTTTAAAAATCTTCTTCTCATGAACCAACTGTCAGATTAAGTTCATATTTGATATTTAGTGTCCTTATGGCATGGTCTACAAAATTTAGATATGAAAAAAAATTGGGTCAAAAACGGCCCCACTAGGGGGCGCTAAAAAGGGTCAAAAATTCAACTTTGACCAATTTCAACCAAATTTGGTAGAAAGCATCCTTTAGTGATGTACATATGAAATTATGTTGAAAAAAGTGATTATGTCCCCTTTGGGGCCCATAAGGGGTGTAAAAGGGGCTATATGTAAAAACCTTCTTTAAATGATTTCTTCTCAAGAACCATTAGATGGATATTGACCAAACTTGGTACAAAGCATCCCCAATGGAAGCTGCTTCAAGTTTGCAAAGAAAAAGGGTGTTGCCCCAATAGGGGCCGCAGGAGGGGGAAAAAGGGGGTAAAATTAGGTAAATCTTTAAAAAATCTTCTTCTTATGAACCAACCGTCAGATTAGATTCATATTTGATATTTAGGGTCCTTATGGCATGGTCTACAAAGTTTGCGAATGAAAAAAAAAACCGGGTCAAAAACGGCCCCACGAGGTGGCATCTTAAGAACCAGTAGATGGATTTTGACCAAACATGGCACAAAGCATCCCCATGGGAAGCCGCTTCAAGTTTGCAAAGAAAAAGGGCGTGGCACCAATAGGGGCCCCAGGAGGGGGAAAAAGGGAAAACTTGATAAGAATGTTCTACACAAGGTCCTGGCAAGTGTTTTAACTTTTTGGGGCGATTCAAAATCCAAGATGGCCACCCTGGCCTCTGTTTGGCTAAGACATTATGGACTTCCTCTCAAGAACCATTGGGTGGGTCATGTTCAAACTTGGTACAGATGTTTTACACATGGTCCTGCACAAGTGTTGTTACATTTTTGCAACATTTTAAAATCCCCAGATTATTGACATATATTCCTCAGGTGACCGTTAAGGGCCCTTTGGCCTCTTGTCTGGTTATTGAGTTGATGTTATCAGTGTTTTGATTCATAATATGTATTAATTTGCATTCAATAAATTTGTCAATACTTGATTATGACTTAAAATTTCTAAAAAAATCCTGGAAAATTTTGTTCAGTTTGAAATACGTAATTTTTAGAAGTTTCATTTTAGAATACTGTACAATGTAAATATACATCAATTCGATTGTGAGTGACATACTTTAAAAATAGAATTTTCAAATTGAAGATATTGCACATTAATTTTATTTTACTAAATGACACTTCTGTATGTTGTTAAGGTAGTAATTATTGCCAATGTCAGAATTTGACATTTGACTTATCTGTTTAAACATTATTGTGCCAAAAGTTGATCATGCCAAAATAAGAATGTTTACAGTATCCTTAATTTCTATGGGTAGCTAGTTTATTGGCCTTTCTTTGTGTATCCAGTTATTAGCTAGTTTAGAACACATATTGCCCTCTCTTTGTGTAGCAAATTCTTTTGTAGACTGAAATGTTTTTCTTCACCTCGTTTGCAAGCAGTCAATACAAAGGGAACTAACTCTGTTTATAACAGGTACCTCGTTGGCTTAAGGAAGAGTTAGCTAGCACCGAACGCGAGATTAATGATGGAAATGAGGCTGATGACACTAGTGACCAATCAGAGGATGAATTGTCACGGAGAATGGTGGATAGCTCGATGTCCAGTATACAGATAAACAAAGATCTCACCCCTGGTAGGTCAAGCTGTGTACATCTCTTAAGGTAGAGAGATTAAACACTTTTTTTGTTAAATCTCCAATAATGAGGATTAGCATCAATTTGTTTGCATTTTTGTGTCCGTTTACAACAGAGAAAAATTATATACAGGGGATATATGATGTGTATGAACATTTATATGAACCAGTGTTTAGGAGCTTCATGTATTTTTAGCCCACCATCTAATAGATGGTGGGTTATTCAAATCGCCCTGCATCCGTGGTCCGTCGTCCGTCCGTCCGTCAGTCCGTAAACAATTCTTGTTACCGCTATTTCTGGAAAAGTACTGGATGGATCTTTTTCAAATTTCATATGCAGGTTCCCCTTGGTCCCTAGTTGTGCATTGTACCTTTCTTGAACTGATTTGCATTCAAGATGGCCGACAGGTGGCCATCTTGGATTTTGGAAGTAAAAGTTTGTTACCGCTATTTCTGGAAAAGTACTGGATGGATATTCTCAAATTTCATATAGGTTTGCAGGTTCCCCTCAAGATGGCCGACAGGTGGCCATCTTGGATTTTGGAAGTAAAAGTTTGTGCTATTTTGTACCTTTTTTGCAACATTGATTCACATTCAAGATGGCCGACAGGCAGCCATCTTGGATTTTGGAAGTAAAAGTTTGTTACTGCTATTTCTTGGAAAGTACTGGATGGATCTTTCTCAAACTTCATATGCAGTTTACCATTAGTTCCTAGTTGTGCATTGTACCTTTTTTGGACTGATTCGCATTCAAGATGGCCGACAGGTGGCCATCTTGGATTTTGGATGTAAAAGTTTGTTACTGGTATTTCATGGAAAGTACTGGATGGATCTTTCTCAAATTCCATATGCAGTTTCCCTTTGGTCCCTAGTTGTGCATTGTACCTTTTTTGGACTGATTCGAATTCAAGATGGCCGACAGGTGGCCATCTTGGATTTTGGAAGTAAAAGTTTGTTACTGCTATTTCTTGGAAAGTACTGGATGGATCCTTCTGATATTTCATAAATATTGGTTTCCCTTGGTCCCTAGTTGTACATTGTACCTTTTTTGGACTGATTTGAAATCAAGGTGGCCCACAGGCAGCCATCTTGGATGTCGACAGTAAAACAGCACAAGCATATTGTCCATTATCCACCTGTAACTGACTGCTGTCTAATAATACTTTGGGATCTTTTTCAAATGATATTTGCTAATAGGTGCCATCATTGAGTACATTCAATGAAGACCAGTTCATGAACATTTACAACACCTGTAACAAACAAAAAAAAATAAACAAATCTTCAAGAACTGAAAACAGATCCTCAAATGGTGGGCGCCCAGATCCGTCTGGGATCTCTTGTTTATATTTGGTTTTTAAACTTTTGTTTGCTTTGCAGCGAAGAACCTGGAAGTATTGAGCCCTCGAGCCAAACAGAAAAGACCTAATACAGAAGATACCAGAAAAACAATGGTAACTAAAGATTGTCTAACCATAGATTGTACTAAGTGGATGGCTGGTGGCCATCTAAGAATTCAAAAGGCGTAGAATGTTATAAATATTTCTCAGAATAAATCTTTCTAAAATTTCCAACGTAGGATTCCTTGGGTAACAAGTTTTATACATTTAGTTCTGATAATGATGTAAAATCAAAATGGCTGGAAGACAGCCAGCTTGGATTTTGACAATAGGAGTTTGTTGCTATTATTTTTTTAAAATTCCTACAGGAACTTTCTCAAATGCCATGTTTAATCAGTTTGTCAGTAGTTGTGCATGTTCAAGTTACAACTTGTAGGAGAGATAAGGTTGATTTTAATCTTGTCATCGTCTTGTTGGAGGAGAGGGGTGGTAGCATATAGTGTCACCAACATTACTTCTTCAGATATCATTCCTGTGCAGTCAATTTAGAATCGATGTCATCTTGAGAACCTCTCAACAGACTTGGTTCATATTAATCCCACAGTGTCATAGCATCAACCATTATAAAGTGCCCAAAGATTAAGGTTAAAGGGTCAAAGGTCACATTTAATAACTTCTGTAAATTTATCAAACAATGATACTTAAATGCATGGAAGTATGGACATTCATGTCTTACAGATATTTTCTAATTGTAATATAATCATTACACAGACAGAGACACGAAGTCGGGACCGATCAATGTCTGCCAACAGTACAGAGAGTGAAGTGGACTTTCCTTCTGGTAGCATACATTCAGACAGCTCCAAGGAAAACTTACATGTGCCTGGTCATCGGTAATACAGGATTTTTATCATTTCATAAAATAATTTTTTTTTGATTTGTGTATTTGAACTTTGAATCATGATTAATTTAAAATGGGATAAAAATATATGATTCTGTAAAAATCATTTCAATTTTATTTTTCGAAAAAAAAATTAAAAGATCACTATTAAAAGATGTTATAAGGAACAACATTACTATAACTATAAAGTATATTGAAACTTTCTTGAATGTATCTAATTTTTTGCAAATTTAGTGATTCTTTCAAAATTGCAAATGATTTCTTTTCATTGTAACCGCTTGAGTAATACATCTATAGAGCTGATGTACCTACATATGTACCTGAAGACTCCATTGTCGTGTAATACATCTATAGAGCTGATGTACCTACATGTACCTGAGGACTCCCTTGTCGTGTAATACATCTATAGAGCTTATGTACCTACATGTACCTGAGGACTCTCTAGTCGTGTAATACATCTATAGAGCTGATGTACCTACATGTACCTGAGGACTCTCCAGCTTTGTTATACATCTATAGAGCTGATGTACCTACATGTACCTGAGGACTCTCTAGCTGTGTTATACATCTATAGAGCTGATGTACCTACATGTACCTGAGGACTCTCTAGCTGTGTTATACATCTATAGAACTGATGTACCTACATGTACCTGAGGACTCTCTAGCTGTGTTATACATCTATAGAGCTGATGTACCTACATGTACCTGAGGACTCTCTAGTCATGATATACATCTATAATAAATTAAATACTTTTCACCATGTAAATTTCTGATCTATGATGACTGGTTTCCAGTTGATATCCACACTAGTATATAAGTATGTCCATTCTGAAGCATTCAAAGTCTTCAAAATAGCAGAAAATTAATTACGCAAAAATTGTAAAAACGCATTGTAAAAACCCCTGAAAGTATATAAAAGATACAAAAACGCTTTAAATTTTTTAGAAATTAAGTGATTTACGTTACAGGCGTAAGCTAAGTGACTCCAGTAACTTTATAAAGAAGAATATCCAGATAACTAGCCGTAAAACATCGGCTCCAGCAGGGAAACGGAACGGCCTACCTGCAGGACCCCAGAAACCCTCAAGTCGACTGAGGGGCCAGCCACGGAGTCAGGGGTAAATTTTGGAAATGTTAGGACTTTTTAATGATATTTCAAGAACAAAACACACAACAATGATACATATTTCACAAAAATAATGAATTTGAATTAATTTGAAATATTTGATATAAGGTATAATTTCAAATTATTTAATTATTAACCACACTAATTAACACAGGCAGGACTCCACCATGAAGGACCAACTGGCGGCACGAGGGTTTGTGTCTGATGTTACTGTCCGTCGTCGCCAGGAGGCATTACAGGTATACTGTTACAGGCAAGCTACTGCTGTACACATGAAATTTGTATATATATGAAGTATGTTATTGTTATTAAGGGTGTGTGTGATGTTTTTATGAAGCATTTCATAAAGGATGTATGTTATATTATTGTTAAGTATCATAGGAAGGGTATATGTTATATTTTTCTTTCTTTTGCAACATTTTCTTCAGCTTGGTAATGTCAATAGAATAGAAGTTCTTATAACACAACCAATAGAGGATTAGTGTGTGACGATGAATACACGGTCACCTTCATCTGATAACACAACCTGTAGAAGATTAGAGTGTGATGTTTTGATGACTACATCGTCTCCTTCATCTTATACCACAACCTGTAGAAGATTAGAGTGTGATGTTTCAATGACTTCATTAGACAAATGACCAGTGCAGAGCGTACTAGCACTGATATACATATTGTATGAAATGGTGCGAAATCTACCAACTTTTTTCGGCTGCTCTATAAACTTCCGTACACTAAGATAAAAAATAATGTAATGAAATTGTAAACACAATTTAGACAAAATATATAAACAAGATGGTAACAGTGTACTTAAGTCACTTTGACCAAGTGTTAGACAAAGCGTAGTCAAATTCACCTCAGTACATTGTTACCGTCAGATGTATTGGTTTTTATGTTATCAGAACTACTATTCTATATGTTACACTATTGTAAGGTATCTTATTAAGGGTGTATGCTACTTTTTTGTATAAAAGTTTATCTTCCTGTTAGAGGTTTTCAACTTCTTTATAAATGAAACTTCACATTTATGATGTTACGACAGAATGAGCTTGAGATTACACGTGAGGAAAAACAGAGAGCCGAGGAAAAGATTCGGAAGCTGGAGATGGAATATAGACACAAAGAGGAGCTGTTGAGACAGGAGGCAGAGTTTCAAGTTATGGTAACCAATCAAATTAGTCAATTGTATGTATGTATGAATGAATGGGAGCCTTTTAGAAAAAAAATGATTTGTAATCAGTAAAAAATTTAAATAAGACAGGAATTCATCATAGACAGTTTGATTACATTTACTTAATTAATCAAATTACGAAAAAATCTTCTGTATTTCAGTCTACAGTCATAACTTGTCTAACACAATGTAATGTGTTTGCTTCATCATTAAAGAGGAAACAAATGTATGTTAGGAAGACCCCTGTACAGGCAGAAGTCAGCTCACAATAGTTGGTTTGGATCTATTAATTCTTTCAGCCTACATATTTAGGCAAAAACAAATGAAATTTCATGCAACAGCAAATTTCAACAGATGATTATGAATTCACATACGCAGGGATATATTATGGTATAAAACCAGCGATGTTATCATCCTAATGAAGCATTGTATTTCTAATCACCAGTGGCATTAAATCAGAATTTCTGTTTAAGTACTTTGATTTATATATTTCTTAGTATGTGTATTTTCTTTCCATTTTTGCAGAGGAGAGAAAAAAATCTAGAAGAACAAATAGAGTTATTGAAGACGGAACTTCAAAATCAAAACTCACAGCTAAAGGACAATCAGAGAATGGTGCTATCATTACGGGTAAATATCAAACAGTCACATGTTATAGCTCCACTGATATAAAACAGTCACATGTTATAGCTCCACTGATATAAAACAGTCACATGTTACAGCTCCACTGATATAAAACAGTCACATGTTATAGCTCCACTGATATAAACCTGTCACATGTTATAGCTCCACTGATATAAACCTGTCACATGTTATAGCTCCACTGATATAAACCTGTCACATGTTATAGCTCCACTGATATAAACCTGTCACATGTTATAGCTCCACTGATATAAACCTGTCACATGTTATAGCTCCACTGATATAAACCTGTCACATGTTATAGCTCCACTGATATAAACCTGTCACATGTTATAGCTCCACTGATATAAAACAGTCACATGTTATAGCTCCACTGATATAAAACTGTCACATGTTATAGCTCCACTGATATAAACCTGTCACATGTTATAGCTCCACTGATATAAAACTGATATAAAGTCACATGTTATAGCTCCACTGATATAAAACTGTCACATGTTATAGCTCCACATGTTATAGCTCCACTGATATAAACCTGTCACATGTTATAGCTCCACTGATATAAACCTGTCACATGTTATAGCTCCACTGATATAAAACTGTCACATGTTACAGCTCCACTGATATAAAACAGTCACATGTTATAGCTCCACTGATATAAAACTGTCACATGTTACAGCTCCACTGATATAAAACTGTCACATGTTATAGCTCCACTGATATAAACCTGTCACATGTTATAGCTCCACTGATATAAACCTGTCACATGTTATAGCTCCACTGATATAAAAGTCACATGTTATAGCTCCACTGATATAAACCTGTCACATGTTACAGCTCCACTGATATAAAACAGTCACAGCTCCACTGATATAAACCTGTCACATGTTATAGCTCCACTGATATAAAACAGTCAAACACTGATATAAACCTGTCACATGTTATAGCTCCACTGATATAAAACTGTCACATGTTTAGCTCCACTGCTGTCACATGTTATAGCTCCACTGATATAAAACTGTCACATGTTATAGCTCCACTGATATAAAACAGTCACATGTTATAGCTCCACTGATATAAAACTGTCACATGTTATAGCTCCACTGATATAAACCTGTCACATGTTATAGCTCCACTGATATAAACCTGTCACATGTTATAGCTCCACTGATATAAAACTGTCACATGTTAAAGCTCCACTGATATAAATGTAAAAGCTCCACTGATATAAACCTGTCACATGTTACAGCTCCACTGATATAAAACTGTCACATGTTATAGCTCCACTGATATAAAACAGTCACATGTTATAGCTCCACTGATATAAACCTGTCACATGTTATAGCTCCACTGATATAAACCTGTCACATGTTATAGCTCCACTGATATAAAACAGTCACATGTTATAGCTCCACTGATATAAACCTGTCACATGTTACAGCTCCACTGATATAAACCTGTCACATGTTACAGCTCCACTGATATAAAACTGTCACATGTTATAGCTCCACTGATATAAAACAGCTCCACTGATATAAACCTGTCACATGTTATAGCTCCACTGATATAAAACAGTCACATGTTATAGCTCCACTGATATAAAACTGTCACATGTTATAGCTCCACTGATATAAACCTGTCACATGTTATAGCTCCACTGATATAAAACTGTCACATGTTATAGCTCCACTGATATAAACCTGTCACATGTTATAGCTCCACTGATATAAACCTGTCACATGTTATAGCTCCACTGATATAAACCTGTCACATGTTATAGCTCCACTGATATAAACCTGTCACATGTTATAGCTCCACTGATATAAAACTGTCACATGTTATAGCTCCAATGATATAAACCTGTCACATGTTATAGCTCCACTGATATAAAACAGTCACATGTTATAGCTCCACTGATATAAACCTGTCACATGTTATAGCTCCACTGATATAAACCTGTCACATGTTATAGCTCCACTGATATAAACCTGTCACATGTTATAGCTCCACTGATATAAAACAGTCACATGTTATAGCTCCACTGATATAAACCTGTCACATGTTATAGCTCCACTGATATAAACCTGTCACATGTTATAGCTCCACTGATATAAACCTGTCACATGTTATAGCTCCACTGATATAAAACTGTCACATGTTATAGCTCCACTGATATAAACCTGTCACATGTTATAGCTCCACTGATATAAACCTGTCACATGTTATAGCTCCACTGATATAAAACAGTCACATGTTATAGCTCCACTGATATAAACCTGTCACATGTTATAGCTCCACTGATATAAAACAGTCACATGTTATAGCTCCACTGATATAAACCTGTCACATGTTATAGCTCCACTGATATAAAACTGATATGTCACATGTTATAGCTCCACTGATATAAATATAAACTGATATAAAACTGTCACATGTTATAGCTCCACTGATATAAACCTGTCACATGTTATAGCTCCACTGATATAAACCTGTCACATGTTATAGCTCCACTGATATAAAACTGTCACATGTTACAGCTCCACTGATATAAAACAGTCACATGTTACAGCTCCACTGATATAAAACAGTCACATGTTATAGCTCCACTGATATAAAACAGTCACATGTTATAGCTCCACTGATATAAACCTGTCACATGTTATAGCTCCACTGATATAAACCTGTCACATGTTATAGCTCCACTGATATAAACCTGTCACATGTTATAGCTCCACTGATATAAACCTGTCACATGTTACTGATATAAACCTGTAGCTCCACTGATATAAACCTGTCACATGTTATAGCTCCACTGATATAAACCTGTCACATGTTATAGCTCCACTGATATAAACCTGTCACATGTTATAGCTCCACTGATATAAACCTGTCACATGTTATAGCTCCACTGATATAAACCTGTCACATGTTATAGCTCCACTGATATAAACCTGTCACATGTTACAGCTCCACTGATATAAACCTGTCACATGTTATAGCTCCACTGATATAAACCTGTCACATGTTATAGCTCCACTGATATAAACCTGTCACATGTTATAGCTCCACTGATATAAAACAGTCACATGTTACAGCTCCACTGATATAAACCTGTCACATGTTATAGCTCCACTGATATAAAACAGTCACATGTTACAGCTCCTTATTCGATGATATGCCATCTACAACTGATGTTAAAAGTTGAATTGTCAATATCCTGTAGAAAAGATTAATTGACTTTATTGGTTGTATAATCAGGATAATAAGGATAGGATTCAGAAGCATATTTTAATGGTTTCACTATTTTCTCATCTTAAGAGATATACACTCCAGCTTGACCTTTAATGCATTCAACTTATACTTTGAGATTTTATGATGGGTTTTTTTACACTTACTTATAACTACACTGATGACTACACCATTTACACTCCCTAGTTAGGTAAATTGTTATGAAGAAATCACTTTGTCTGTTTGTACATGAAAGTATGTGCATTTGTAGTAACTTTTGGAACAAGATATCACATGAACCTATGACCAGATTTAGTTCATATTCACAACAAAGCTTTTCTCTACCAAGGTGTACACCCGATTAGATCATGGTGATCATAAATCAGGGTTAAAGGTCAAAGTTCACCCTTGACAACTGATCACTTTACCAAAAGCCTTGTGTACGAGATATGCAATGAACTCCAGAACATAATTTATTCATATTCGCAACATAGCATCATCCCACCATTGTCTATACTAGATTAGTGGTCATAGCTTAATATTAAAGGTCAAAGTTCACTCTTTACCATTTTTGAATAAGAAACTTCTACAGGTTATTTCTTGAACTTCTTAACAGTTTTAATTCATATTTACACCTTAGCATTACAATACCAAGTTCTACACCAGCTCAGATTTTGATGGTCATCATTCAAGGTTAAAGGTCTTTTCAAATAAAATGCAAGGTACTAGGTATCTCATAAAGCCTCAATAGATCAACTCCTCATTAGATTTAGAAAAAGATGAGGATGGGGTTGTGTAAGCCGCTGCTCATATTGTTTTGACATCCTTAAGTAAAAACAATTTTACTCTGTGTTTTGGGTTGGTGGGAAGGAAATAAATCTTGGTACAAATTTTATTTTGCAGGAGGAGCTTACCAAGGTCAAGACAGAGTCGGGATCGGGGCAATCATCCAGAAGTCAGTCAGGTGGAAAGGACAGTAGAGTGTGTACGGTTCAGTGATCTAGTTGAAAGTTTAAATGAAGGATGGACACAACTTTTAGATCATGCAAAGCATGTAAAATTTGATGAAAGAAGTTTCTCTTCAGAAATATGATTACCTAAAGTTAAACTTCATGGGAATGAAGGTCATATCCTCTACAGTATGCAAAGCATTTCTAATTTATTGGCTGGAGGTTACAGTTCAGCCCAGAAAAATGACCTCATAAAGGTCAAAGTTTATGTGAGTGAAGGTCATAACCTCTACATAATGCAAAGCATTCAATTTGTGATATATTGGCAGGTTTATAATCTTCTGCAGAAATATGACAGGAAAAAGGTTAAGTTGGTCTTTAAATATGACTTCTGAATAGTTTATTTCAGCTATAATAAAAACTGGTGAGTCATTGATTCCTGTGATTAATTCATTTATAAAAATCCTGATATCAGCCTGAAAGATGAATGTTATTTACAGTCAAATTTCAGTAGTTGATAAATCATTGCATTTTGTAATACAAAGGTGAAAGGTCACTGCCTATTGTTTTATCCAGTGCTCAGATGTAAAGATGAAAGGTCAATAACCTACCTTTGTATACCAGTGTTGAGATTTGATAATGGTGTTAAGAAGGTGAAAGGTCAATAACCTACCTTTGTATACCAGTTGTGAGATTTGATATTTGTGACAAGAAGGTGAAAGGTCACTGACTACCTTTGTATACCATTTGTGAGATTTGATATTCATGACATGAAGGTGAAAGGTCACTATCTACCAGTGTATACTAGTGGCAAGATTTAGTATTTGTGACATGAAGGTGAAACCTATCATTGTGTACAAGTGCTCATGATGTAAAGGTGAAAGGTCACTCCTTATCATTGTATACCAGGACTGGGTGTTTGTGGTGAATTTGAACCCTGTTTTATATCTCTGTTTTAACGCATAATAATTCTAATTAATTAGATGAAGGATCTTATGGAAGTTACCATGTCAAAGTTTATTTCACAATCATTTTGACATGTGTTTAATGGCTTAATTTATATCAAATGATTGGTAATGTCTGATAAAATTTGATACATTATGACTACAAAAATAGGATTGAATTCTTATAACATGATTGTCAGTAAATATACATATGTAATATAATTACATTTTACATCTTGTTAATAAAACCTACAGTTTCATCAGTTTAGAAAATGACATCACACACAGATTTCATTGTCACGTGAAAACGTCCATCATAGTTATAGAACCAGAATGATTTTGTTTTTCTGTAAAAATGTCAGTCTTCTATGGACCTGAATAAAAGGTCATGTGGTAAAAAGGATTTTAGATTTATTTCCATTTGATATTTGATTTATGAAATGCATTTTTCATTTTTCATTTTAGGTAGCATAGTGCTTACTAGATTCCTACACTCATTTCGTAACCTACATGTAACTCATACTTGTTATGAAATTGCCAATGATAATTTCCCTTTATATAGAGTATGTTATAGACAAAAAATCTGTTGATGGGTGTTTGAAGAGGGGTGTGAAATCTCCTCAAAACTTCAGGGATTATGATCACTTCTGAACAATAAAGATATTATTAGTGATCGTATTACCTGAAATTGTGAGGCTTGAAGTGTATGCTGTAGTTTTGTATGGAGAGGGATGCTAACTGAGTCTGTATCTGGTGTGTTAGACTGAACTGTCTGATGATAACTGTAAAGTGACTGAGTCTGTATCTAGTGTGTTAGACTGAACTCTTTGTCTACAACTGTTAAGTGACTGAGTCTGTATCTGGTGTGTTAGACTAAACTCGCTGATGACAACTGTGAAGTGACTGAGTCTGTATCTGGAGTGTTAGACTGAACTGTCTGATGACAACTGTAAAGTGACTGAGTCTGTATCTGGTGTGTTAGACTGAACTCTTTGTCTACAACTGTTAAGTGACTGAGTCTGTATCTGGTGTGCTGATGACAACTGTGAAGTGACTGAGTCTGTATCTGGTGTTGGTGTGTTAAAGTGACTGATCTGTATCTGGTGTGTTAGACTGAACTCTTTGTCTACAACTGTTAAGTGACTGAGTCTGTATCTGGTGTGTTAGACTGAACTCGCTGATGACAACTGTGAAGTGACTGAGTCTGTATCTAGTGTGTTAGACTGAACTCTCTGATGACAACTGTTATGTGACTGGTGTGTTAGACTAAACTCGCTGATGACAACTGTGAAGTGACTGAGTCTGTATCTGGAGTGTTAGACTGAACTGTCTGATGACAACTGTAAAGTGACTGAGTCTGTATCTGGTGTGTTAGACTGAACTCTTTGTCTACAACTGTTAAGTGACTGAGTCTGTATCTGGTGTGTTAGACTGAACTCGCTGATGACAACTGTGAAGTGACCGAGTCTGTATCTAGTGTGTTAGACTGAACTTTCTGATGACAACTGTTAAGTGACTGAGTCTGTATCTGGTGTGTTAGACTGAACTCTCTGATGACAACTGTAAAGTGATGTGAAATGGTGATACATATTTTTTATAATATTGTTAAACTTTAAGAAGTTTTTATAACGCTATGGATTTTAAGAGGGAAATATACTGATACACCTTTGTATGTCCATGACTTTAATCACTTTTTGTAAATATTTTATTTTATGTTTTTAATGAAATCCAGAACATGTTAACACATCTGTATAGTTTCATTACAGTGTTAACAGTAAAATTCCTTGGACTTCCAGATACATAGATATCACTGGGGGCCACAATAACCAAATCAGTTAAAGATCTTAGGTGCATGCATGACTAGACGCTCCCTACTTGTGGCGGGTTGTGTTTTTCAGGAAACTGAGAAACAGATCTACCTGTGCTGACATCATCAGGTTGTATATTCTTAGGCGAGGTATTTCATCCTAATTACTGCAGCAGACATGTGATTAATCTCCTGGTGTTGCTTGATGATGTAGTGACTACAAGGAGACTGAAAATGACCCTGTCTGTTCATGGGGTAATAAACCCGAACAAAATCAAACAAAAACAGAATCTATAAATAGTTTGTGTTATGACACTGATAACAGGATAGGGATGTTATGATACTGTGGGGAAAACAACCCATTAATGCTACTTGAATCATTTTAACACCCCACCACATAAATATTTTATTGAAACATTCCGTCCAACTAACACGATCTATACAGGTCTTTTTTACCTTTTTGTTAGTTGAAAAGGTTGTGATGAAATTCAAACTTCTGTCTATCCTCTATGTGGCCAAGAAAAAAAGTTTTATTTTGTTTTGGTTTTTTTCCGGAGGTACAATGAAGGTAAATAGAATTGCAGAGTGACTTTTCTCTATAACACGGAAAGTTCCTGGATTAGAAATTGTAAATATTTTTGTGGCTGAAGGCAAACCACAAAAATAATGTGCACAGAATAAAATTTCAAATTAAAGATTGGTGTGCAGTTATATTGTATCCATGACAACGTTTACCTAGAAATTAGGTATCTACTCTTTAAACAAGAAAGATATATACACAATCACACTCAGTGTATTATGTTGTCTTGTGGGGATACATTGTTGTAGTCATCATTCACATATCTTTATTTATGTAAGAGAAGCGAGTGTTTTACAACATGACAGTGTTTAGAAATTTTTCAAAGCAGGGCACTTTTTTCACTTTTGCAGGGCGAAGCGAGCATTTGATTATTTTCTGCAGGGTAACTTATGTTGGATTCTATTTTTCCATGATTTCTTTTTTCCTTGGTTTTTTATTCTAATGCTATACAGTATCTCACACTGGATCTGTTAATGTTTGTTTACAATGTTGTGCTATTTTTTGTTCACTTTCATTTCAAGTATTAATGGATGAAATAAAGATGTAAAACAACTCACATGAATAGCTTTGTTATGTATTGATAAATCAATTACACTTAATACTTTATCCTGAATTGATAAATCAATTAAGGTGAATATTTTATCATGTATTGATAAATCAATTACACTTAATACTTTATCCTGTATTGATAAATCAATTAAGGTGAATATTTTATCATGTATTGATAAATCAATTACACTTAATACTTTATCCTGTATTGATAAATCAATTACACTTAATACTTTATCCTGAATTGATAAATCAATTATGGTGAATATTTCATCATGTATTGATAAATCAATTACACTGAATACTTTATCCTGTATTGATAAATCAATTATGGTAAATACTTTATCCTGTATTGATAAATAAATCAATTTTAAGGTGAATACTTTATCGTGTATTGATAAATCAATTAAGGTGAATACTTTTTCCTGTATTGATAAATCAATTATGGTGAATACTTTATCCTGAATTGATAAATCAATTACACTGAATACTTTATCCTGAATTGATAAATCAATTATGGTGAATTCATGTATTGATAAATCAATTACACTGAATACTTTATCCTGAATTGATAAATCAATTAAGATGAATAACTTTATCTTGTATTTTGCTATATTTGTGCCAAAGTGTTACCTCATGCATAAAATATTTCAGATACAAAAGTTGTATAAATGAATACAGTCCAAAGTCATCCATGTTCTCTTTTCTCTCTCATTCCAATTACAAAAACAGTTATCAGTCAATTTATCTGAAATAGAGTTATTTTCCTTCAGACCGTCAATATGTTGAGATTAAATATCACACAGACCAGAAATACCAATGGATGCAACAAATGATGAGTCACTCAATCTTTTTTAAGTTACAAACACCAATTACTGACCAAATGTATAACTGTGGCTATTGTGATTGAAAACGTATGAATTTTTTCCTCTTTTCCTTAAGAGATCATTGATATAGACATGCCAGCTGGTAAATTATCAATTTTGAACTTAAGTGTTCTCATTCAGCCATCCAAGGAGAAGCATGTCATGAGTACAAAAGAATCACCACTGGTCAATATCTTCTGAACAATATAAATTGATTATCAGTGCCTAATGAGGACATCCCTCATAGTATCCACACAAACCATATGAAGGAGCTTGGAGTATCTCCACAAACCATGTGAAGGAGCTTGGAGTATCTACACAAACCATATGAAGGAGCTTGGAGTATCTACACATACCATATGAAGGAGC